CTTCCCAACATTCACATACCGGAGGAGCGAGGGGGGATCGGGCCTTCCCATCATTCACATATATAACCTTGCATGTCTCTTACACATCAGTCTACACTGGCTATCCAAGTCGTCTATTTACTCCACCAGCTAGAATCTGACATGGTAACCCGCACAATGTAGCTGCTATTTTACATGCAATATAAACCAGCTTCCAACTCCCCTAAAAAACAACCCTCTTTTACGTGACACATTGGTGGCCTGGAGAGAAATCAGACGCAAATTGGGAGTGTCCCCATGGGTTTCCCTCTACCTCCCTATTCATGGTAATCCATCTTTCCCTCATCCACAACAATACGCGGCCTACGCTAATGGCACACCCAAGACCTTACACTTGTTCCACAATCTTTGACTCTTCCTCCGGTAAACCTCCACCAATCCTGCGGACATTAGGGACCCTGGACTTGCCCTCACACCATTTTATATATGCAATGAAAGTAATAAACTTTGTGAAATCACTAGCTCCTGACAAGCCTTCTCTTTTTCAAACCACATTGGTTGACACTCTGTTGAGCAGAGGCAGGTTCAAGATTTCAGATATTTACTCCCCACTTAACCTTTGCTTTACTAAACCTTTAGAGTCTACATCTGTGACCTCATGGGTCAAGGACTTCCAGGGACTTACTGTGGAACACATTTTGGCAGGCTTCAACACCACCTGTGCCTATGTTACGAACGAGTTCTGTCAGGAACAGCAACTGAAAATTATGCATCGGGCCTACATGCCTCGCTCTTCCTCCAAGTCCGCATCGAACACGTCTCAATGTCCTCTCTGCCTCTGTAACCTACCAAACCTTAAACACAGATTTTGGACTTGCCATCCTATCTCCACATTTTGGGATCAAGCGCTATCTTTCATCCAATTTGTGACAGGAGTTAAACTCCCTAAATCTCCAATACATCTACTATTCGGCAATTTGGACTCTACCCTTTTCATGCTTCACAGGGGCCTCAACTCACTTCCTCAACAAAACAAGTCTTGGATGTCTACTTGCCTCCTGATGGCAAGACGAGCCATCCTGAAAAAACTACCTGTAGATGGTACACCACCAACCATATCTGACGTCAAAAAGGATCTCATCCACCTCCTCCACACAGACAAACTTCATCTTTTCTCATCCTGTCCAAACAAATCGGACTCTTTCGCATGAAAATGGCAAATATACGTATCAAGAACATTCTATCTGAACAAAGAAGCCTTCTGGAAAATGCTATGGCAGATCCTGCCCCCACCTACACCCCCTCCAGAACACTGTCTCCACTTCTGACTAAAATGTATGGATAATGTATTTATTAAGGCATTAGTGGTCCTGAGATCCCTCTGCTCCATGGAGGTCAACCCATCTAAATCTAACATATGAGCATGAGGCCATGATGTCCTTAGGATCCACCCCCCTCCCTCCCCCCTTCAAGGGGTCGCTGAACAACGTGCTACTTAGATGCTCCACTAGAGGTTCCGGCTATACTTATATGTCTATTTATCCCTCTCTAATCCCACACATCAGAGATCAGGGGATTCCTTTTTATTCCCTTTCTAGCTCCCTTTTCTTTTCTGCCCTCCCCCCCTCTTTCCACCCCCCTCCCCCCTCCCCCTTCCTCCCCCTCCCTCCCTTCTCCCCCCCTCCCCCTTCTTAAGCCCTCTGCTGTATTCCTATTCCTTTGTCTTTCTTTTATGTCCCTTTTGTACATTTGTAGGATGTATTGTGGAGATGTATAGATGTTGATGTGATCCCCGGTCTCCTCACTCCAACACACATTGGAGAGCAGAACCCAGCAATGCTCTATGTACATCATCTGCAATGTCTATCCAGTCATTAATGTCATCTGTTCTCTCTGTTTGTAACACCCAAATGACGATGTTTTTTTTTTTTTTTATTGACATAAAACCCAATAAATATTTCTTTAAAAAAAAAAAAAAAGTTCACAATGATGGTAAAAATTACTGTAGGCCCAAAATATCTATCACACTAGTAAAAAAAATACAATTCCAGTATCTATCCCGCCATTTGTAGACGCTGCAACTTTCACAGAAACCGATTCATTTACACGGATTGGGATTTTATTTTTAGCAAAGACACGGAGCAGAATACATTCTGGACGAAATTTATGACGAAATTTTAATTTTATTTTTTTTTTTTGCTGGACAAGATTAACCTCTTGCCCTCCAAAGTATTTTCCCCCCTTCCTGACCACGCCTCTTTTTGATATTCAGCGCTGCACTAATTCCACTGATAATTGCGCGGTCATGCAATGCTGCACCCAAACAATATTTACATCCTTTTTTCACACAAATAGAGCTTTCTTTTGGTGGTATTTGATCACCCGTGTGCTTTTTATTTTTCGCGCTACAATCAAAAAAAGACCGAAAATTTTGAAGAAAAACAAAATTGTTTACTTTCGGCTATAAAAAATATATAGTAAACTCAAAGTTAGTCATAAATTTAGCCCAAAATGTATTCTGCTCCATGTTTTTGGTGAAACATCCCAATAATTGTATATTGATTGCTTTGTGTGATAGTTATATCTACAAACTATGGGATAGATAATGGAATTTACACCATTTCTTTGCTATACAGCGCTGCGCTAGTTTAACTAACAATTGCGCGGTCATGCAATACGGTACATAAATGAAATTTACGTCCTTTTGAGCTTTCTTTCCGTGGTATTTGATCACCTGTGCAATATTTATTTTTGGTGCTATAAACAAAAAAAATTTTGAAAAAAAAGTTTTGAAAAAAAAAAAAACATTTTCTCATTTCTGTCATAAAAATATTAAAAAATACTAAAATATTCTGCTACATATCTTTGGTTAAAAATATTCCCAATAATTGTATATTGATTGCTTTGTGTGAAAGTTATATTGTCTACAAACTATGGGATAGATCATGGAATTTACAGCTTTTACTTTCTGACTGCCATCACATTTCTTGAGGTGCTACAATACCAGGACAGTACAAACACCCCCAAATGACCCCTTTTCAGAAAGTAGACACCCTAAGCTATCTGCTGAGAGGCATATTGAGTCCATGGAAGATTTTTTTTATTTCCACAAGTTTCTGGAAAATTACAAAAACGTTTTTTACACAAAGTTGTCATTTAAATGATATATTTGTCACACAAGCCATGGGTATATGTGGAATTACACCCCAAAATACATTCTGCTACTTCTACCAAGTATGGGGGTACCACATGTGTGAGACTTTTTGGGAGCCTAGCCACATACAGGAACCTGAAATCCAATGACCACTTTGAAAGCCTGAAGGTGCGTAACTTCCTCATTACACTTCCTCACTACCTATCACAGTTTTGGTGGCCCTGACATGCCAGAATAGCACCAAACCCCCCCCAAATGACCCCTTTATGGAAAGTAGACACCCCAAGGAATTTAAAAATAGGCATGATGAGTATTTTGCAGATCTCATTTTTTTCTCAAAAGGTTTTTAAATATAAAAAAAAATAGAAACATTTCTTTTGTTTTTTTTCTTCAATCTTCAAAAACTTATGGCAGCAAATGAGATCTACACTACCAGATGCTTCTCAGGGCTGCAGTTCCTCTGAGCTCCACAAGGTGATAATCTCACTTCTACCGAGTCAGGAAGTCTCTATGGAAGACAGACAGAAGTGATGTCAGGTACAGACAGGAAGTGATGTCAGGTACAGACAGGAAGTGATGTCAGGGTACAGACAGGAAGGGATGTCAGGTACAGACAGGAAGTGACCTGAAATAAAGACAAAGTTCCATGTGGCACAAAGAAAAAGAGACATTGGTGGAAGTAGCAGCAGAGGAGGTAATAAGATGGTATTTCCTATTTACACCCAGTAACCCCCGTCATGTCCGTCCTCTTCCTCCATAGTCACGTCCGTCCTCTTCCTCCATAGTCACATCCGTCCTCTTCCTCCATAGTCACGTCCGTCCTCTTCCTCCATAGTCACGTCCGTCCTCTTGCTCCACAGTCACGTCCGTCCTCTTCCTCCATAGTCACGTCCGTCCTCTTCCTCCATAGTCACTGTGACGTCTTTTATCTCCAGCAGATGATGATACACACATATATAGTGTGGGAACCCAGATGAACCCCTTCAGGGGGAGGAGTTGATGATAATATATTTGCTCCCAAAGCTGGCCTACATGGTTCAGTTTTATTGTTCAGCCAGCGGGATGAGAGAAAAAAATATTATTATTATTATTATACAGGATTTATGGCGCCAACAGTGTGCTCAGCACTTCACAATATAACGGGAGACAATACAGCAACAATACAGATCAATACAAGAGGGTTAGGAGGGCCCTGATCCTGGGAGCTTACAATCTGGGAGGGAGGGGCTAGTGGTACAAAAGGTAGTAACTGTGGGGGATGGACTGGTAGGAGGAGTAGAAGATTCCATTATTAGCTGAGGGCAGGATAGGCTTCCCTGAAGCGATAGATTTTTTAGAGATCACCTAAAAGTGAGCAGAGTAGGCGATAGTCTGATAAATTAGGGTAGAGAGTTCCAGAGGATGGGAGAAGTCCTGGAGATGAGCATGGGAGGAGGAGACAAGGGAGCTAGAGAGCAGAAGGTCTTGCGAGGAGAGGACGGTTTGGGTGATATTTGGAGACAAGATCGGTGATGTAATTTGGGGCAGAGTTATAAATGACTTTATATGTTATTGTTAATGTTTTGAATTTTTATCCGTTGGGCAATGGGAAGCCAGTGGAGGGATTGGCAGAGAGGGGTGGAGGACACTGAGTGGGGGCCAGTGGAGGGATTTGCAGAGAGGGGTGGAGGCCAGTGCAGGGATTGGCAGAGAGGGGTGGAGGACACTGAGCGGAGGCCAGTGGAGGGATTGGCAGAGAGGGATTGAGAACACTGAGTGGAGGTCAGAGAAGGGATTGGCAGAGAGGGATGGAGAACACTGAATGGAGGTCACTGGAGGGATTGGCAGAGAGGGGTGGAGGACACTGAGTGGAGGCCAGTGGAGGGATTGGCAGAGGGGGTGGGGAACACTGAGTGGAGGGATTGGCAAAGAGGGGTGGAGGACACTGAAAGGAGGCCAGTGGAAGGATTTGCAGAGAGGGATGGAGGACACTGAGTGGAGGTCAGTGGAGGGATTTGCAGAGAGGGGTGGAGGACACTGAGTGGAGGCCAGTGCAGGGATTGGCAGAGAGGGGTGGAGGACACTGAGCGGAGGCCAGTGGAGGGATTGGCAGAGAGGGATTGAGAACACTGAGTGGAGGCCAGAGGAGGGATTGGCAGAGAGAGATGGAGAACACTGAATGG